GGTCCGTGGTGAGGAGGTCGTTCACATGCCACCCCACAAGCTCCAGGATCAAAGCCAAACTCTGCCTTGGGAGGGTTTAGGGTTTAGGGTTTCTCCATCTAGAGGTTAGGGCTTATCGCTTGTTGCTCTTTGGGGTTTATAGGGTATGTGGGATTTGTGAGGTTTCTGGGGTTTATTGGGTTTATGATGGTTTAGGGGTTCAGGCCTGGCAAACGAAAAACGATGCTCGGAGGAGTTGAACGCACTGAGCCCTCCTCAAGCTAATGAAAAAAGCATTTCGGGAGCCCCGCAGAACGCCGCGCCTATGGCCGCGCCTAGGCCAGAGCACGATTTTCGTCCAAAACGCGAGGGCATGCGAGCGCGCAGGCCGTGTGGGATCAGCAGTCTGAATTCCCTTGCGCTGGACGTTGGAACTGCATAGCGTTGGCACACAGATTCGGGGAACTAAACTTAAATCCTTTATATTCCCATCCACACACCCTCCAGGCTAGAAATCCAAGCAAATTAGGTTTAGGCTCGCCTTGTGTGTCCCCCAAAGCTCAGAAGCATTGCAAAGAGCATCTTCAACGAATGGCCAAGCGGCAAGCCCTCAAGGAAATCTGCGCTGTGTAGGTCACTGACTTGTTGATCTTGGTCGAGCACTGAGGCTTTCGTGAGCTGTGCGATGACCTGAGGACAGTCTAACACAGCTTTGAGGGTTTAGGCCCTAATCCTGAACTCCAATCCCTAAACCCTAAACCCTAAACCCTAAACCCTAAACCCTAAAACCTAAACCCTAAACCCTAAACCCTAAACCCTAAACCCTGAGGTGCTGGCCGGTCTCAGAACTCCAACAGAACGGAGGCCCAAGATCTCCCGCGCGGCCGGCCGGGCAGTCTGGATGTCCTTGGGCCCGCGGATGAGGGTTCTGGCTGCAGTGCCCCCTAAAGTACTGTTCTGGCTGCAGTGCCCCCTAAAGTACTATGGGTAGTTTAGGGTTTAGGGTTTAGGGTTTAGGGTTTAGGGTTTAGGGTTTAGAGTTTAGAACCCCCAAAGAAACAAAAAGGCTCTTCCCTGTAAGGGTAATAAGGGGATTATTCGTTCTGTACTTTCGTTGGGGGGTTCTTAAGCAAATAGAAGCAAACCCCGTAAACCAAACTCCCTGCATTCCTTGCCTTTTGGACCAACCCCAAAACTCCCCCGACCTGAACTGCAAGCCCAGTTTCCCAGTGGCCGAACTTGTCTGGAAGCCCATCGAAAGACCACATGTGGATGCCCTGAAAGTCTTGTCGCGCACACAGGACGAAGCCCTGGTTTCCTCGGGAGCGTAGGCAGTTGCCACTGACGATCCACTGCCTCGTCAATTGGGAAGCACTCAGCCCTAAGCTCACAAATTACCTCAGAAACAGAAGCACTTGCAAAACCTAAACCCTGAACCGTATAGCCCTAAACCCTAAACCCTAAACCGTATAGCCCTCAAAACCTACGCCTTGCAAGCTCGGACACAAAGCAAAATCACAGCAACCCACGCACAAACTAGACCCACGCTCGTGTCTACTCCACAAGGGGCCGGGCGGGATGCTGCGGGTTGAGTCTTTGGAGCCTTTTGTGCTGTGCTTCGGTCCATTCAAGAAGTGTGTTTTTTCTTCAGACGAAGCACTCAGCAAGGAACCTAGTGATACTTGACCGACAAGAACAGGAAGTCTAGGGGTTTGGGGATTCAGGCATACACGTCGAAAAGAGGGACCCGAATTCTGCAGCCCAGTTGCGAGCAAGCAGGTAGGGCTGACTCATGCTCCCACAGGTGCACCCACCCTCCATTTTGGCAGCCGTCTTCCACAATGCACAAGGCGTAGCTGGGGTTCGCCCACGGACGCACAAACCCTCCAGAGATATCCCAGCCAATGAAGAGATCCGCGGAGGTTCCCTCTTCCACCAGTCCTGTTCCCCACAGGGTGGGGCAAGTTTTTGCAGCTTGAACTGGCCACTAAAGCCACCTAAAAAGCCACACGACTCAACCCGGCAATGGCAATTGGCAATGGCAGATCCGCAAACCCTAAACCCTAAACCCTTTTCCCTAAGCCCTAAACCCTAAACCCTAAACCCATGTTGCGGGGAGCCCTGAGTGAAGGTCGCTGCAGGCACCGGTCCACACACACAGAGTCAAAACACGCAAGACAATAGACAACAACAGCCGATCGCCGGTCACTTAACATCAAGCAGCGGTGGTCCTACCCATCCGCCGTTCACGCAGCTGTCACTCCGCCTTTCTCGCTGGGTGTGCAAGTGCTGCCCGGAATCTTAAGGTTGGGAGTTTGGCGGGAAAAGGCTGAAAAGGTGCCAAACCTCCGGGACGACATGAGACCTAGAATGTGAGCGGTCTGCGACCTGAAGCAGGCTAGTTCTTACTAAGAGGGAACCCATGAGGAGGGGCCTGCACGATTTCCCTCCCTAATCCCTACTAGGAACTATAGAGAGCTACAGAGGATTTGAGAAGTAGCCTGAGATCCATGTCAGGTATGCGGCATCGGCTGCTCCACAATGGGCAGTCGTTTCTCCAGCGCCCCCCCCCCCCCCCTCCTGGAAGCCTTTTTCAGGACGGGTAGGGAGAACCTGAGTGTAGGGTTTTATAAGTGAACCCAAGAATTGCAGCCGAAGGCTCACACCCAAAAGGTACTTGCCGTTGGCTTGGCAGCGAAGAAGCGACATCAAGGTCAGCGCACCCTTGGGATCCCCCCCCCCCCCACCGTGCGTCAAGTTATCTAAGCCCTACTTATAGGTACAACCCTGTGGCATCTATATACATATATATGTGTATGGCACCCACCAGCTATCTACATTTTTTACATCTGTATACTCAAGCTAGACCCTTCGACCTCATTCCTTCGTCCACATGCTCCTGCTCTCGCGCTGGGGTGAGATTGCGGCAGAGACATGCCATCATGATCCTCATCTTCATCATAACCCCGAGGCCCGAAACCCGAAACCCTAAACGCCAGACAGCGTAAGCCAGCCAAAACGCGCTGCTTGGCCCCGTTTTTCGGGTTCAAGGTTTGGGCGTTTTGGGTACTCTGCAACTTCGGCCCGGGGGCTTCACCGTCTGCGTGATTTCTATAATATAATGCCATAAATACTATGCTTGATGCATAATACTGAATACATACACACACACACGTATACATACATACATACATACATACATACATACATACATACATACATACATACATACATACATACATACATACATACATACATACATACATACATACATACATACATGTGTGTGTGTTATAAATGCCGCAGGGCTGTACCTCGACCGTCGGCTCTGGCAGCTGGAATTCTATGAACTTGCATAGCAAGAACCGTTAACCTCTTCCAAGAGAGAAGACCCAATCCCAACAAGATGAAGCTGGTTCCTTGAAGCTCTGGAGACTTTGTCGCCTAAGTCCTCCCCAAAAGAACCCAAGCCATGCCAGCACTGAGCCCACCTCTCGCAAACCCAGCACAGAGCGCGGCACGAACAGCAGAGCACCCCATTCGGAGCTAACCCCGAACCATACCCACCCTAGACTTGCCCGAAACACCACAGTGCCGAAACATTTTCGAAAGCGTTGCCTTTGGCAGATGGTGGGCGTGGCAGCCGAGTCGGCCCAGCTCTCGGCTTTGGTGTAGCTGAGGGATTCCATGTTAGGGGCTGTTCTTGGGGTACCCTCTAGGATCCACAGGCTTCTGAGGCTTCGCATGCAGCTAGGAAACTTTATATAACGGGGTGGAGTTGATAGGGGGCTCAACTGCAGCCTCCTAGTTCCGGATGACCGTGAGAGGACCTTCCGCAGGTACCCCTTTTGGGGTCCAGAGGTTGAAAGGTTGAAAGCGGCTGAATTGGCACTCCTTCGAGTCTTGCATCTGTGGCGTTTAGGGTTTGGGGTTTAGGTCTGTTTTGCATTTAGGGTTGAGGGTTTTGGGGTCTTACTGCAGGGGCATGTTGGGTTGAGAGGCGCCACGTGCAAGATTGGGCGGCTTTCCCGTGGGGGCCGAGCCTTTCAAACGAGGGATGGTTCAGCCCTCTCAGCAGAAGCTCCCCGCGGCCGTGCTCATGGTGTCACATGGCTTCTTGCACGGATTCCCGATAGTACGGGCAATAGTGCAAGGACAGGCCTTTGCCCTATCCTGCTGGTTCTTTCTAGCGAACGGTTCGTGCGCGCGATGTGCGAGCAAGCCCAAGTTTCTGAAGCGGCTCGCAGTCAACGCCAGCGGCATAATTATTGAAATAGCGCCCAGCCAGCACACATGTGGCGAAACCTGCTCGATCAAACTCTTCAGGTCACAGAGAACCGTTCACGGTACGGTTTTGGGTCTATGTTTCCGGGTTGAGTGTGCCAACCGGGCAACTCAGAGAACAGGTGGTGCCAGAGCCGGCTAGCAACATCCCATGCAAGAAATTGCAACACATGTCAGGGGCTCCCACCACGAACTACTCAAAGTCAAAGTATTTCGGGTTGAGGATGTTAGGTGCCCTGTCTCCTATCAACAAAGCTCATATAGCCCTGAACGTTCGTGTCCAGCTGAAAATGCAAAGATCTCGAGCCCTGGCCCCCCCGAATGGCCTCTGACTCCAGGCACAACCAGCTCCGGTGAACCCTTTTCGCTAACAAAAAACAGCTCCTGCAGACCTTGACGCAGCTGGCTGTTTCAGCACGTTCTTGCCAGAGTCTGCAGCTTGCAGGGGCCCCCATCTTGTTTTGAGCCACCCGGCAGCCACCCGCCAAGCAGCTCACTGCCACAGGGTCTTCAGTTAGGGTTGAGGGCTTGGAGTTGTGGGTTAGGAACCCAATGCCATCCTAAACTGCCCAAAGCCCTGTCATAAACAAATAAATGAATAAAAAAATATATATTTACATATACATTTACATCTATATATATATATATATATGTATGTGAGTCAGGCCCATTTGGAGCCATGTCGCCGCCTAAGAGGCAGCTCTCACCAAGTGACACACCAAAAACTTCGCAGTCGTTTAGCTGTGCTCGTTCAAGATTTCCTCGGCTCTCTGTGCATGTCGGGGAAACCCTAAACCCTACTCCCTCGGTCAAGGTCAAAGAGCGAAATCTCTCCCGACTATTCCGATTCTCAGTGGTGCCTGGCCCAAGCTTTCTCATCAGTGACTGGGCCGTCAACAACTGCAGCCCTAAACCCTAAACCCTAAACCCTAAACCCTAAACCCTAAACCCTAAACCCTAAACCCTAAACCCTAAACCCTAAATCCTAAACCCTAACAACCTTCAACTCGACAAGTTTAGGGCTTCGGGCTGAGAGGATTTAGGCTGTGCAGTCCGGGTCCTGGATAGACCAATTTTCATAGCAGCTCCGTTCTCTACAGGGGAGAATACCCAGGTCAGTTTTATGTAAAAATATGGGTAGTACGGAACCCTTAAAAAAAGAGACGCCAAAGGGAACCCTAATTTAGAGAACTACCCATATACAGTTCTTCCGCTTTTGCTTCGGTGTGTGCAGTGTGCATTGCTCCGCTCCTTGTTGCTGAACCCTGGCCCAGCATCCTACGCCTTCTCAACTCCCCTACTATCCCAGGGCGTCTCTAAAGTTAAGGCTGCTGGGTCCCTTAAATCCTTAAACCTCGTCCCCTCTAACCCTAAACCCTAAACCCTAAACCCTAAACCCTAAACCCTAAACCCTAAACCCTAAACCCTAAACCCTAAACCCTAAACCCTAAACCCTAAACCTGGCAAGGCACAAAAAGCACGGATGCCACTTGAAGACCCAGCCGTGACATGGCCTTCGAAGCGGAGGCTCTGAAGGTTTCGGGTCTAGGCGGTCCAGGAGTCTAGGGTTTACCGGTTTAGGGTTTAGGGTTTAGGGTTTAGGGTTAGGGGTTTAGGGTTTAGGGTTTAGGGTTTAGGGTTTAGGGTTTAGGGTTTACTCGGGGGGTTTTGGGGTTTCGGGGTCAGACTTTGGGCTCTCGTGTGTGCAGTTCATTGCCGCGCTGTGCACACAGGTGACCGGGATAGCTGTCAGAAGCTTTATGTGATCTTCCGGTTGCCCGACGGAATTCAGGGTTGAGGTCGTGCAGAGCCGGAGGTGCAACGTCTGGATGCGTCGAAGACATCCGGAGATCCGGCTCTGACGTGAGCTTCGAGAGGGGAGAGAGGTAACTCTTCCACAGTGCCCTAAACCCTAAACCCTATACCCTAAACCCTGATATGTGTCTAGTACTATGCAGCCCAGCCTTCTGAATGAAGACCTGGAAAAACTGATGGGTGAGTCCTGGCAAAGCGTCAGAGCTGCTAGCTTCAGCAAGTACGGTCCAAAAGCTTCTACAAGCCCTGGTCTTCTGTAGACATTCGGGACAAACATCTGCCTGTAGCTACTCAACTCCTTCCCTGCTTCCTACTTGGGAAAAGCTCATGAAGCCCCAGAGCTATGACCCAAACAAAGACGCAAAATGAACCCCAAATTATGCCGAAGCGTAGACCCTCAATCGCTCGGGCCGTAGCGGAACCCGCTAGCAGACTCTCCAACTGGAACCTGCAACCGACACCGGCCCGTCGTAACTAGTAACTAGAATCGACACATTGCAACCTACACAGTTGAAGCCTGAAGCCAGTTTCTTGAACTCGAAGCACCCACCAGAATCCCAAAGCCCAAAACACCCAAGACCTTGAACCCAAGTCTTGACAACCACAATCTCAAAGTGAGACTTCAATGTTCGGTCATAGGCTCTATTAGTCTATATCTTTGAACTCGTTCTTCAAAGAACCTAGTCGAAACTCTCTCTGAAACTGCTACCCTAGAGCCAGCCCAAAATTCTGTCTGACGCTGTATCTTATTCTCTTGAACTTGCTATCTTAAGCTTCTTCCCCAAAGCTCGATCTTCAGTTCTCGTTTGGGATCCTATCTTAACCTAGACCTCTTGATCTGCGATCTTAAGCCTCCATCTCAAATTTCGCTCCCAAACTGCTATCATGAAACTCTATGTTGAAACCCTACAAAACAGGTCTGTAAATTCCAACCTACAAGTAACTTTCTATCCTGAGTGTGCATCTAACCTTGTCTGTCCTCAACTTATAACTTAAAACTATATCCTAGAATGTGTGTTAGCGCTGCAGTGTAGGATTAGGTGTCGGAAACTGCATCTTGAAAGGTCCGTGCATCTCAACTTTTGTACTGTAGCCAACAATGAAAACATCTACCTCGAAGTGGGTTCTCACCACTACATCTGAAAATCTGGTCTTAAAGCTCTATCTTATAAAGCTCGATGAGACAAACGCTCTTTCTGGGGATTGCATCTTACGGCTCTAGCCTGTATTGGTGTCTTAAGACCCTTTTGTAATGAACAAATCGATCTTACAGTTTCTATCTTCAAATTGTATCTGAAGATTACATTTTGAAAGCGATCCAAACGGCTGTCTTCAAGCTGTATCTCCAGGCTACATCTTAACATTGTTTCTTAAGATCATGTCTTATAAGTGTATCTGAGAGTTCTACGACGAAACTCGATC